TTGAATAAACAGCATCATATAATCATGTTACAGTTCTATTTGATTTGGCTTGCCTTGAGTCTGTTTGGAGGTAAGTGCGAATGGAGGTCCTGTCCGCTGTGAGCCCTGAGCTAAATGTTACAGATTCAACACGCTGCTTTATTTTTCTCTTTCTAGAATCCAATGGAGACATTGTTGTCACGCAGACACCACTGTCTTTCCAGGCAAATCCTGGGGACCGAGTGGTCCTTCAGTGCAAAGCTTCCACTTCAGTGAGCAGCAATATGGCCTTATATCAGTTCAAAGATGGACAAAAGCCAAAGCTACTTATTTATGGAGGCTCAAGCCGCTTTGAAGGGACCCCAGACCGTTTTAGTGGCAGTGGCAGTGGCACGGATTTCTTATTCACTATCAACAACGTCAGACCTGAGGATGAAGCACAGTATTACTGTGGGCAATATAACAGCTTGCCTCTCACAGTGATACATATCAGTACAAAAACCAGGCTGATGGTCTGGAACAGCACTTAGGAACAGGAAAGGTACTGGCCTCTGTATCTATCCTCCCACAGCTCACTGTGGCATATCTGGGGTATGTGTGAGGGGAAGTACAGGGGGATGGACGATGGGTTATTGATTTCTCCACGAAGTTATAAGCATAAAGGAAATCTGAGAATGTGTCTTTAAAGGAACGATGCCTCCTCTCCAGCCTGAAACCTAGAAAGAAGCAGTGACTAAAGGAATGCTGATAAAGAGCAGCATGTCCTAAGCTGGTGACACCTACTGGGCCTGAGCATTTTATGTGGGGTGGGGTGAGACTCATCCATAGCAGTATTGGTGTCTGCACTAGTTAAGTCACTAGAGATGGTTCCAGAAAGACTGCAGGAAGGAAGTGAGGCTGGGGCAAGACCAATCATACATATGAAGACAAACAAGTGGGTGACAGATCTTCTGACATCCCCTCTTCTATACGGCAACTGTTCAACAACACTGTTCTCACCCTATATATTAGTGTCTAGAAATATGATAGGGGTGCACCTTGACACATATATAGATTTTTGCAAGCATGCACACATGCGCACATACATACATCATTCTTTCTTCTTTAATGAAACAGTGTTTGATCCCACAATGGCTTTTGTCTTATGTATTACAGCACAGTGCAGAAAGCTTTCAGTAACAAAGCTTTACTGAAGACCCTCAAAAGAGCTGGTTATGGGGAGGCAGAAAGGCACTTTAGATAAAATTCCCACCCACAAGATTCACCCCCTCCCCCAAGTTCCGATTCCAATTGGATAGAATAAAAATAGGTTTAATAACAGTCAGCACAGAAATCCTCTGACATGAGGGAGACTTTGTACTCCAGTTGCCTCAATTTGTAGTTATTGTGTGTGGCCAAATACTCACTTTGTACATGTTAATGGGTACCCTTGTTTATCCCCCTATAAAACATCATGTGACATTTTTCATTGTGGTTGACCTCCCCCAAGGAAATTCTCAGAATGATTGCTTGTAAATTCAGGCCTGATTCCCTGCATTACTGCCTATTAAAGCTATCAAGCTAGTGGAGCCTCAAGGGTGAGCTCCCACTGGTTTGTCAACTCCAGATCCGACCTCTCTCTCAGTTTGTGGGTTCCTGTCTGGGAGAGACTTCAAAGGGGCATAAAAGATTGGTTGCTGTTTTTAAATTGCAGTAAGAATTTCATCACATGCAGTGACAGGAGTCACTGTGAATGCTTCCTGGTTGTTCCAGGGTCTCTAAATTTGGCCTTAGTGTGACCGGCCGCCTGATTACCTTTGTTATTAGGATTCCACCAAGCTTATCACTCTTCTCTTGGTCTCCCCATCTTTGTAACCACCAATGCTTTGAACTGTGTAGACAGTGCTAAAGAAGACTCCCGTGGGACCTGCAAAGAAAGGAACTGCATAGTCTCTCACAAGGTCCTGTATAAAGCCACTGATTAAGCAGTAGATCTGTCAATCACATTATATGCTCTGGCCCTTTCCTTTTATGGAGAAGCTTACCTGTGGCTGATTTATCAGTAGATCTGTCAATCACATTATATGCT